AAAGAAGGAAGCAGAACTTCACTCTGTTACTTGAACAAAGCCAGATAGGTCATAAAACAAAACTTTCTGGTGAATGACAAAAATATCTGGAAAACTTAACAACCAATATAAAATTGCAATGATGAGTTGCCTCATAAACATTTAACTAGTGTTCCACTCTGTGTTTTTCACAAATTATGATTTGATAAAATTGACCATCTGGCTTAATATAAATTAGGTATTGATGAACATTTTTGTCTCTGTTTAAGACAGACTTAGATATAAATCATTCAAATGCCTGTACTGTAAAGTCATGCATGAGCAAGCAGTCTCTATTTGTATATATGTATACAGGCATATACAAATTAAATGAAAAATGGATATCAACAACAACTGTTATAATCTTATATCAGCTCATAGACATTATTTTGTCATTTGACCGTGACGTCAGGCCAAAATAAAAATATTGTATGTTTGCCCAAACGTGACCGACCCAAAAAAACCCTGCCGACTCAAATTCTTTTTTTGCCGTTTTTTTTGAAGAATTTTTTTTTCAGATTTTTTTCGTGTCCGCTCCGCCATCGTATAAAACTTAATGTTCGTCGTCTTTGCGTTTGAAAGTAACTGTGAATAAGATTAAAAGAAAGCGTGTAAGAGACGCAGTTAATCGATAATCGATGTTCTCGGTTTTTATCTTCTGTCACAGATTTAACGAACGTAAAGAAGTAAAACATGTGAAAATGGCAGACAGTTTTTTTACGCTGTCGTTGTCTGTACTACTTAAAATAAACCAAAAAATAAAGCCTATTGTGTCTTAAATAGGCTTTATCGCTTTAACAATAAGAAAACCTGGAATGATGTTTTTGATGAGGTTGCTGATCCTGATGAAGAGATGCAAACAGTTTTTTTTTTCTGTCAGACATTGGGGCCTACAGGGTAGCAAGTTTTGTCAGACCCATCAAATTTTTGCCAGACCTACATTTTTTTTTAAATCAGCTTTTTATACAGTAAGAGAACGGAGATAGGATGTCTTTACAGTGACAGCTGCTTTAGTGGATTATTTTTAGAAAATATCTAAAATTCAATTGAGTTCTTTTATTTAATAATTACTACAATATATTTTAAATTTTTTTATTGTATACCACTGAACATCAGGCTAGGGCCATTCTCCATTTTTTTTGACAGTGCTCTAAGATTTTTAATTGATTACAACTTTCTCAGGAAAGTGAGGACTGAAAAGTCAATTCAGTTTTAAATTTCCCTCTTTAAACTTCCCAGTTACAACTCTCATCACAGGGATACATGTACTTACAAAAATCAAACAGATTGATATAAGCTGTGTGCAGCTTGTTTCCAGATCTTACTTTTTGTTATCCTTGTATATTTTGATATATTTGTAAATTGCATGAATAAATATGTTTAAACTTCAAAAAGCAACATTTGAAAATTTATAATTTTTTTACCATTATGTTGGTACACAAAATTTTGTTTTAATGGAAGACTATACTTTTCATATAATAAATGTCACATTTTAAGTGTTCAGATACATTAACTTTTATTTTGGTGGATAATATTACTCATCAATTGAGGAGCTCCTTTATTGGAAGAAGATTCGCAATACAGTTACAGTTACAGAAAGAATGAAAACTGCCGTTTCTCTCCCCAATCTCATGTATCCCCATTGTTTCCCGCGAAAGTTGACCTACAAAGCATTGATGTTTAACATCTACAGCAAACATACTTACTAACTTTAATTAATAAATTTTCAACAAGGCAAATTTCAATTCCCCACTAATAGGTTAGCACCAAAAATGCTAAATCTTACTAAAATCCTAGAGAACTGCCTGCCGGTCATTAGTTCTTGCACAAAAGCCCAATTTGCCTGACCTGCTCAATTTCTGCCCCCTCGGGCCGACAGGTCCGACGATTAGTTGCATCTCTGCTGATGAGATGGACATGCGGAAAACCAATGAAGTCGTTGTTACTGTATCCGACAAGAGTGGGATACAAACTTTCGAGCCTGACATGAGTGAACCTATTGAGGTTGTACAGGAATTTGACAATGTCTCTACAAAGATTTGACGGAAAAATAAGATATACTGTTTTAATATTTTCATGCAAATTCTAATAAACAAAAAATAAGAATTTGCCTACCTACCTACCCACACCCACCCTTATGGAAAAATAAGGCTTCTTGCAAATATTTGCGGCAATGTTGCTGCAAATATTTGCGGCAATATTGCTGCAAATATTCATTTTTCGTATGCAAATTAGTTTTCTTGCAAACAGTTGCTGCAATATTGCTGCAACAATTTGCGGCAATATTGCAGCAAATATTTGCGGGAAAATCAGTAGCTATGATTGTTGCAGCAATATTGCGGCAAATTCATTAGCTGCAATGTTGCAGCAATATTGCAGGAAAATTAATTTCTTGCAATATTGCAGCAACATTGCAGCAAATCTTTCAACAATTTCAGTTGAAAAATTAGGAATTAAAAACTAAGCATTTAAAAAAGTATGATTTAATAATAAAACAAAATTTTCTCTGTCCTCTATAGGTTGTTGTGTTACATATCTGTGTATCCTTTAGTTCTGTTTCTCTGTACTCACTGTCCTTAAAGTTGAATTTTCTGATTTCAAATACTGCAAAATAAAAGTTGAAGAATTTAGCATACATTAAAAGAATAACTAAACATTATAAAGATATAAAGATATAAGTTACTACTATATATTGTAAATTCTGGACTTGTAAAATGAAAATAACTCTTTATAAAGAGATGATTATACAGACCAATTTTTCCAGCATTTGTTTCACTTAAAGGGTCAATGTCTAAAAGTGATCAAGTCCTTCTAGAAATTGCATATTACTATAGAATACATTTAACCTTATGCCAGTACTAGGTTGTTATTGCTTTTTTTAATATTTGTTTTTCATTGAACTATAACATAATTGGTCTTGTCTATTCTTTAAAATTTTTGTGATTAGTTGTGTAGATATAAAAGCTAAATATTGTTGCAATTTGTTGATAGACCTCTTATTGGCAGTCAAATCACAGATCTCTAATTTAATACCAAACTGCTTTTATTAGAAGATTTCTTGTTTCAATTTAAGTAATGTACTTTCTAAAACATATAGTTTTAAAAAGATTTAAAAAAATATCTCCTGTCTTACACAATTTTAATAATATTCATGTGCATAAATCTATTGTCTTATACTTTTGTCAACTCTATTAAGTTAAGAAAACTCTTTAAATATCACTATTTTGAACTGTAAGAGCAAGCACTTATTCAAAATGGTGGACATTCAACTCCATTGTACTTACCAAAAGATGTTATCCAAATTATGTGTAAACCCCAATCTTCCTAAATCCAAGAGTCATGTCAACTGAAGGCTGTCATATGCACTATCCAGTGTCAATAGAATTAATTGGAACTTTTGGATCTAAATCCATTGTAAAATTCATATTACTTTGTTCATGATAGAAGACATCTTTGTTTGTTGTATGCATGTTCATGTCCAGTTCAAATTTTGAATATGTTGATCAAGGTTGCTTAGGGTATTGTGACAGTGTGATCCCTTTGAAATTTGCCCCTAATTATAAATATCAATTGCCTAAATCTTGAATATTTGTTATATATTATAATAAAAAAATATTTATACATATATTTTTTTTTTTATCTTTGATGTTATAAGTTATAATGGAAATATATACAAAGAAGAAATGCTTTACCCTTAATTTGGCCTCAAACTCTGTGTACATTAATTTATGGTACTTCCTGTCTTTACCACTACACATGCAGAGATGAATGGAAACCAGATGGCACATTACATTTCTATCACCAGCTCATATTACTAATTGAGATGAGAAAGATAATTTGTGTATACATAGTTTTAAAATAATGATACTAGAAATTAAACAAAATGCAACCTGCAGGTGAGGCTAAATTCATTTGATGGAAAATATTAGAATTAAAAATATTGTTCATAGAAAAATTGTCACAAAAAAGTGACAAAAAGGCATAATAATACATGTAGAACAAAAATTATTAGGACTCAATTATTTAGATTAAACTTGTTGAAATAAATACCAAAGTATTCTTGAAATTCTTTCCTTACAAAATATCATATAAATGATAATATAAGCATTGTTATTTGAAGATTTATTTAAAATAAATTATTCAAATATCCAGATATTTCTGAGTAAAATAAAGTATGACGACAACAAATTTAGATAGTTAGAAGTATCCATAACCAAATGTTCAAAGAAACAATATGTTGTGTATTATTTGAACCTTAAATCTTAAAACAAATAATCATATGTAATATTTTAAAATGCTTGAAATATTGGTGCAAACTATCTGATTGTCTGACATTATTAAAGAAACTTTTCTTGCAAAGTTGTTGCAAAAAGTAATTCCTTAAATAATAAAAGAAAAGGTTCCTGCAACTTTCTAGCAAACAAATTCTTTCTTGCAACATTGCAGCAAACTTGCTGCAATTTTCTTGCAAACAAATTTTGTTGCAGTAACATTGCGAGAATGTTGCAGGTAGCTGCAACAACCTGCAACTTTCTTGCAAACACTTCTTGCAAACAAATTTGTTTGCTGCAATATTGCCGCTATATTGTTGCAATATTGCAGCAAACTTTTCATTTCTGTAAGGGCAGTCATCATGGGTCGGGTTTGGGCAAACTGAAATATTTTTAATTGTGGCCTCATCAACGTTTTTTCATGATTTACTCCGGCTTAAAATGGCATTTAGAATTAAATTATGAGGAATGACTGTAATATATTTTTTCTGTCTATTCGAAATAACATAAAAAATGTGGTGCACACTTTAGAATAACCCGCTACGCAGATTATTCAGTGTGCACCACAATTTTGATGTTATTTCTTCATAGGCAGACAAAATATTACAGTCATTCCTTAAACATGTGAAATAACAAATTAACAATACAAATAGAAGCTGTCATATTAAACCAAAATACAGTTGTGTAAAATGCAATGCTATTAATACATACTCGTACATTGGTGATTTTTGACTTCTTCCTCCATGGCAGGTACTTAGATGTTTCCCCATAATCATAACGGAGTTCCTCTCCTGTTTTTATGTCTCTAACAGCAAATAAAGCCAAATGGGGGCTGTCATCAACATCAATTCTTTTCATAACAGAATTTTTTTCAATACCTATACCATCATTTACATATCTGGCTTTAAGCCTAGAATATGTGCCATCAATGCTAAAAGAGAGAACAGAATACAACATAATCAACATGAAGCACTTAATGAATAATTTAACAAATGGGGAATGTATTCATGGGACACAGATGATGCCCCCTCTTGCATTTAAGATTATAAAGGGACATAACTCAAGAACAGTAAAAGTGACACTACCCATACAGTTTACTACATTTGTACTTAATCTGTGTTTTGTGGTATAATAAGCATTGTGTTTAAGTTTCATAACATTTGCTTGAGGAAAACTTAAGTTAAAGAACAAAAGTGAAAAATTCAGCAATTTTTCCATTTATAAAGGGGCATAACTCTAGAACAGTAAAAGTGGGGCAACCAAAATTCAAACTTGATCTATGTTTTGTAACAATAAGCAGTGCATATAAGTTTCATAACATTTGTTTGAGGCAAACTAAAGTTAGAGAACGGAAATGAAAAATTCAGCAATTTTTCCATTTGTAAAGGGGCATAACTCTAGAATGGTAGAAGTGACACTTCTGAAATTCAAACTTGATCTGTGTTTTGTGGTAATGACCATTGTGTATAAGTTTCATAACATTTAGTTTAGGCAAACTAAAGATAGAGAACAGAAACCAATTTAGGTACGTACATACTGATAGACGGAAGACGAACGGACAGACAGATGGACAAGGGTAAAACTGAATGCCCCCTATGCTATGATGAGGGCATAAAAATTATTTCTAAAGAGTTCATCCTTCATTAAAAGACTTGGACAGAGCTTACCCTTGAACCTGGCTGATCTGAAAAGACAGTCCAATAATTTTTCAAAAAATTTAAGTTTAAAATATTTCAATTCAATCCTTATATATAAACATGCATAAATAATAGAGATGTGGAATGATTGTCAATGAGACAACTATCTAGAGACCTATTTATAGTTGTCATATTATCTTCTTCAAGTTCAGTATATATATATATATAATCCTCCTGATCCTTGGGTCCTTTTTTTAATGAAATAAAATTGAGAATGGAAATGGGGAATGTGTCAAAGAGACAACAACCCGACCATAGAGCAGACAACAGCCGAAGGCCACCAATGGGTCTTCAATGCAGCGAAAAACTCCCGCACCCGGAGGCGTCCTTCAGCTTGCCCCTAAACAAATATGCATACTAGTTCAGTGATAATGGACGTCATACTTAACTCCAAATTATACACAAGAAACTAAAATTAAATTTAAGTCTCGCCTGCTTTACTGGCCATTGATTTTATGTTGATAGTACTAAATTTAAATCTTACTACAAGTATCCCATAAACTTAACAAGGTCAGATAAACCAAACCGGAAATACATGTACACCTTACAGTCATTCCATACACCAAATACAGTTGACCTTTTGCATATAGTTTCTTAGAAACAAACTTGTTACTTAACCAGGAAAACTTAACATTGACCAATGAAAAATGAAAATGAGGTCAAGGTCAGATGACAATGCCAGTCAGGCATATACACCTTACAATCATTCCATACACCAAATATATTTGACCTATTACTGATAGTTAAAATGAACTGTTATCACAGAGATATGTCTCGCCTTTTTGTAATTTTGATAATGCAAATGTTGAAATTAAAATAGCAATACTTTAACATGTAAGTTATGCAAATATTCAAAGTCGATGAACCATGACTGAAGGTATATGGCTAAACAATCTCCATGGAATGAGATGTGCCAATGCTAATACAACTGCATACCAAATACCATTGACTTTTTATAAGTCGTTCCCTTTAAACAAAGCTAAACACAAACATTAACTTGTAAACTATGTAAAAGTTTCAAAGTCAATGAACCATGATCAGGGGTGGGGCTATGTAATCTCCATGGAAACGATACTTGCAAATGCCAATAAATTTGCATACCAAATATCATTGACTTAACATTAGCAGTTCATCTTAAACTGATCTAATCAAAAACTAATACATGTAAACTAAGCAAAAGTTTCAAAGTAAATAGACCATAACTGAGGGGGTGGGGCCAAATATTCTCCATGGAAATGAGATGTGCTAATGCTTATACAACTGAACATCAATTAACATTGGCCTACCACTAATGGTTCCCCTTGAACTGACCTAATCACAAACTAATACATGTTAACTTAGAAAAGTTTTCAAAGTCTATAGACCATGACTAAGGGGGCAGAGCCAAATAATCTCTATGGAAATGAGATATGCCAATGCTTATACAACTGCATACCAAATATCATTGACCTACCACTAGTGGTTCCCCATAAATTGACCTAATCACAAACTAATACATGTAAATTATGAAATATGTTTTATTATATGTTTATTGTGTTAATACATATTGGTCACAAACTGTAAAGTTTATACGACAATAAAATATTTGATTTGATTTGATTTGATTTATGAAAAGTTTCAAAGTCAATAGACCTTGACTGAGAGGGCGGGGCAAAATAATCTCCATGGTAATGAGATGTGCCAATGCTAATACAACTGCATACCAAATATCATTGACCTACCACTAGTGGTTCACCATGAACTAGACCTAATCACAAGCTAATACATTGTTGCCGCCGCCGCCGCTGCCGCAAACAGCATACCTATGTATCGCCTTTTGACTCCGTCAAGGCGAGACAAAAAAAACAGATCAAAACATAAAAACTTAACACTGAGCAATGAACTGTGAAAATGAGGTCAAGGTCAAATAAAACCTGCCAGACTCAGATGTACATCTTAAGATATTACCATACACCAAAAACAGTTGACCTATCATGCCTATTGCAGTAAAAGAAAATAAGACCATATGACAGACTGAAACTTCATAATGTAAGGCATCTATACAAAGTAGGAAGCATCCAGGTCTTCAACCTTCTAAAATGTAAAGCTTTTAAGAAGTTAGTTAACGCAGCCGTAGCTGCTGCCAGATCACTATCACTATGTCGAGCTTTCTGCCACAGACTCAACAAAATGATATCATTTTATATGGAGTTTATCATATCAGAGTACCACTGAAGTTAAGCAAACATTAATCAATCAATCAATATCAAGACATAAAAATAAAGATATTTCCTATTGCATTGTGAACAACCAGTTAGATTTATTTTTTATAAGAAAATTTAATTCTATAAATTATCACTCTCTACTTAAAATCAAAATCATATCATGAGTCATCAATTGACATTTCCTTAAATTTACACATTTACCTCAATTTTTTTTCATCTTTATTTTTGAAAAAAAAACACATAACAACCAATGCCACTTGCCACATGGTCATCCAGCCTACTGACACCTTCTTCGCTGGAAAGCAACTCTCCTTCATATTCAAGGAGAAAATCTCCTTTCTTAAAATTTCTGCTGGTAAACACTCCTTTTCCTAAAATTAATTAAAATTGATTTGTCACACTTGTCTTTGGTTAAAATTGGTGACAACACTATTTCTTAGCCTATAGATTAGATAGGGTATATAGTCATTCTCCTCTTGTTAAAGTCACCTATGGGTGACTGAGGAATAGAAATATGGTCACAATTGGTCTTCCTCCACCTAGCAGTAAAACCCTCGTCAAAAATGGGGTGTCCATTTGGCTGTGCCAGATGTACAAGTTGGCAGTCACATTACGTCAGATTTGGGACGTTAAATCCAATGCCTCTTTACATGTTAAGAACCCTGTCAACAACTTTTTGAGGGGTCTATAGGTGGCCTGTTGCCAGGTTTAATTTCTGTCCCTATCCAATATATACCTTCATTTTCCTGTGGCTGTCTAAACTTCCCTGACCTTCATCCCGACAGCCTATATGACAGGACCTTTACCTATTGTATTATTGTTAATTTCTTCTCGTCTTGAACATGCATGACATATTTGCCACAGTTTTTTTTTACATCAACCTTAAAAGTTTTACACTGGACTTGCACTGTCAATTTTATTTCATTTCTAAATCATGTGATAATATGCTTAACCAATTGGCCCCCAATCCCATCAGAAGTTGTGATTACATCAGACATTCCTAAAGGTTGCTCTTCTGTAAATATTGACAATGCAATTTCCCATATGATCTTCTTTTACAGCTAAAACTAAATCACTTTTACTATAATGTTTCGTAATTTTTTTTATACTGGATTGGAAAGATCAAATCCACTACATCTAGACACTTTTAAAGAATTCTTCGAAACAGCAAATGGTCATCACACTTTGCTTAAGTTCAAATACAATATTTTGGATACAGAAATGATATTTCTGGACACTGTCATTTATAAGGGACTCAATTTAGGGATACCTGAATACAAGTATGATTATCAACTGTCATGATTTATTTACTGTGGTCAATTAAGTCTGCATTTGAGAGGATGTGATTCCAATTAATATTATTATACTTCACGTTAAAATGCCATATTTTGATTGGCTTATACAAGATAGATAATTTACTCTATCCCATGGCTGAGCAGGAGACAATTTTTTTGAATGTCACCCTCTCGTCCAGACCAATCTAAAATCGATAATTTAAAGGACAATGAGTTGAATTTAGATTAAGTAATTAAAGACAATGCTTAAGTTCTAAGTTTTGGCTCAGATTTTATTATTTGACTGTCAAAACAAAAAAATTAAACATCTTGCTTCACTTCTGTTGATTTTTCTAATACCTGTAACGTTGTTATGTATGTCACGTCACAGAAAATACTTTTAAATAAAATGCATCTGTAAAAGACAATAATAATGGGACATTCAGTATAATAAATCAAATAACACATTGGTACCCCTCTAAAAAGCATTGTCAACCTTGGCTTCGCCGCGGTAAACAATGTTTTTTTCGGGGTAAAAATCTGCTCTATCACCCTCTCAGCTATGTGATATTTATATACTTACACCGTTGAGTGTAATTGTTTGAAAATCGTGACAGTTGTCTATCATACTTGTATGTATCAATATTCTTATTTACCTAATGAAAGAATGGTAATAAAATCATTTAAAAAAAGTGTGGTAATCAACTCTGATTTCAATACACATCTTGAACCAAATTTTATTCAATGGTTTACAG